ATGAATGTTTTTCATCAAGTCACAGATCAATTATTAACGATTTTATCTGCAATCCTCAGTCGGATATGACAGAGATTGGCCACGCTATAAGTTTGAGAACACAAAGGTCTTTTATTTTCAAGTTTCAGGGCTTCGTGACCCAGAACGTTATGACTGGTGGCAATAAAAGCGTGCGTAAAAGTTTCAACGAAAATACTGGGTGGCAGACCGATATTTGTACGCAAATCAAGTATTTTACCAGCGAGTCAAAAGGAATAGTATTTTTCCACGTAAAAGTTGACTCTCCATGTGAAAATTGGTGAGTCAGATTTGAGGACCAGATGTGTACTGTGATCCGGTGTGGAAAATTGTTAATTCATTTAATTCAGTAGATATTAATACTGTGCTTATTGAAAGAAAAAAATGTGCACCTAAAAAATGGTGATTGCTATAAACCTCTTCATTCAAATTCAATTCTTCTAAGTGCTTGACGAGTAAACAGAGTTTTCATAAGTGACCATCACTCCCTCGATCTTTTTCACCGATCATTCCTGCACTCATGGTTCATTATTTTGTGTTGGTGGCCAGCTAGGCCATTTATTCAGCTTTCAATAAAGTCAAGCTGGGCAGGGTTAGGTGATATAGATGAGCTGCTGCCACAAGACCACGCGGTCTCGCCAAAGAATTTTGCGAAAACAAATTCTTTGCCCCGCACAGATTTCATCCAATCAAGATGGCGGGAAGGCTGCTGCTCGAGATTGGATAGTCGTGTGTTTTTAGTGGCAGCGATTGGGATGCATTCGTGATTTTCTTGCTCAAAACACTCAAATAACAGAATATAAATCAAATGAAAAACGCAACCAAGTCATCACTGTTCATCGCACTTGCTAATATACGTCATAATTGAATAGTGGACACTAAATTGTTCACAGAAAATTTAAGAAGTTTGATGGCTATGTAGGAAGCTCCCAATATCATCAAAGTCAAAATATTTTACTTCAGTCATCATAATTCAAAATATAACGCTTATTGTATTGTATAGCTTATAATTTAAAATGTAAGTTACTATTGACATCTAATTAAGATAGTATATTTCCATGTACATAAAGTATAATCTTGCAAAACAGTAGTCAACTCAAATTTAAATGCGCATGATTTTCCTTATTATTAATATACCATTTATCGCCATAGACTTTGTAACGGAATTATTATGAATACTTCTCTCAATTAACTATTCCTACTAATTGCGCTTCTGATAAAATAAAATTAAAATCATGATTGGATTATCGGCGGCCGTACAAGTATTTTTACCATGCTAAAACTATGCGTTGCATAAAATATATTTCAGATCTTTGTGAGGAGACGCCAGCGAATACTTTGCTGAAGCTTCAACAACAACAACATCGTGCTCCCAAATTTTCTGGGCTTGCACACCTAAAATGTAAATTCCACGGAGTGAAAAGCGCTGAAGTTCAAAGAAGGATTTACTTCAACAGCTGCTGTGCATGGTGTGAAGGAAGAAGTCCTGCTAAAAATGAATTCAGTTTCTACTATCAAAGTATTTTTTATTTTCAATTTAAAAATCGACAGTTTCCCAATTACTCATAAACGAAATAGGGGAATTTATATAGGGGTTCCTATAGTCCAACAAGTACGTACTATATAGGACATCAAACAATGGTCGTTGTGTCGGTTTTTCTATACTGCTACTAGCACGTACAAAGTTCTAGCAGAAATTAACATGTCAATACGTAAACGCTCCTAAGATATTGAGCAGTTATGGGCTACTATTCGGAATGATTTTTAATTCCTGATCAGTTTAGTACACCCAATAATTTGAGGTTGTACCAATTTTTTCATGCAAATTTAATAGCATCTCAGGCTAGAATAATTTTCCAAGATTTGGCTTTTACAATTTGAATGGGAAATGGTGGCTCGTCGATTAGAGTAACTAGTCTTAAATCAGTACCTAAGCATCCAATACTAAGTAATTACCTCTCAATTTGAAATAGTTCATTGTAATTTAAAAGTTCCGTGCACATTAGCGATTTCTAATTTGTGCGCTAATCACAGGTGTCGTTCGATTTCTTGGCTGGAAAAAAATTGGCTGCCATACGTTCAATACGCTTGACAGTATATACTTAAAAGCCAGTGATAAAAAATGTGACGATTCGATGATCAATCTGTATGCAAAACGTCGTCTCATTACCATATGCAAACGAAGAGTTCCAAGGCGAATATCGATCACATCTCTAAGAGCGATAACGATCTCGAGTTCAGTAGACGGTTATCTGCATTCAACAAGCTGGTTTCAATTTTTGTATCTGGCTGGAATAGTCATACTCTGAATTTATGAAACCACTTACGTTCTTTATCACCCATGTAAGAAAAAAACTAGTGTATTATTTAAGGGCTGACAAGGTGGCTTCATGAATATGAATTTTTTTTTAATTTACGTGTACTAATGAATGGTCAGTCTGGGGAAAAGTTTCCTGTTAAAATTTATCAGCAATATCCCAGTTTTAACTCCATTTCTTCGCTGTCATTTGCCAAACTGTGGGAGGTCCAATGCTGATAATGTCTTATCGTTACTCATAGATTGTGCCTATCCCAAACTCAGCCTACATATAGCGTACTGAGCGTGCAAAGGCGTAAATCGTCTTCGAATATCCAGGGCACTCATTTATTTTGGTTATTATTATATATTTACTGAGCAGAAAGCAATTGTTTGCCTTAATTTTGGCATTTGAATGTCTGTGTTCTAATTATTTTCTGGTTCACTTTTCATACGAGACTCAAATGATGGTAAGTGCTGTTCCTAAGAAAATAGTTTACAATCAATCAAGCTCAGAAGGCATTACTTTTTTTAACTTTGTTGCCTCCAATCGGCTTTTCCGATGGTGTTCAACTAATCCTATATTGTTCAGACGCTGAAAACAGAACCACACGAAATGCAGCGTTGCGTCATGAACGGCCGGCCATCGAATATTGGGTGGCCACAGCTAATCCGCTTATGATTTCCATGAATTTTTTTATCGAGGTCCAATCTGGCTTGAGATTTGATCTCAGTTGACCTGGAGTTTGCAGCTCTAAGCTTTCAATTCAATTTATATTAATTTTTTTGACAGCGGGGAACTGCATTATTTTTTGTGAATTTTTGGTCTATTACAACACTTTTCTTTAACTTCACTTCTTGTGGTTTGTTTCTTTGTCTGCTACAAATCTTATAATCGATATTTAACACACTTCTACCTGTCCAATCGATTTGAAATTTTGCACACATGCGAAAAGTCGGAGACAATGAATGAATCAATTGACAGAATGAATGATAAACAAAAAATTATAAAGATTTTTTTTAATATTTAAAAATACGATAAGAATTTCATCTTACATGTGTGACATCGGAGACACTGGCCTCTTTAGATGTGTTGTATTCTTAAAGTAATTTTTATGCACATTATTTATTAATTTCTTATTTCGAATATGCATCATAAGATTGTGAGTTTATAGAGGAGATTAAAAACCAGTATCACATACCGAATATATTCTAATATCAAGTCAAAAATCATGAAAGTGGTGGAAATATTCAATGAAATAAAAAATACAGTAACATTGATTGGTGACTTTGCTGGTATACTTGGTATCTTTAAACGTGTACGAGGAAAAATTTTTAAAACGAAGAAAGTTCCACGATGTCCCATTACTGTCGCACTAACGTGCACGGAAATAAGAAGATTGCAAAGGCAACGTTAATATAACGCCATAATTTACTACGAACAAAAATTCCCCATCGGTTTACGCGCTAACAGTCCTAAATGGGCTGCTTCATTTAATTGGGTTTGGACATCGGGTACAATTGCGGTTCAATATACTCCACAAGAAATGGTTCGATCTGATGGTTTGGAGAACCATCCCGTACTTCCCGAGTATCCTTACACGTGCATTATTCCGAATTAATTTACTGTATTGTCGTGGCAGGTTCGGTGCTCATTAAACCACGGCTCCATTAAACTGCTTTATTGCACGCGACATTACATTATATTAAGAGTTCGCTCAAATATTAGAACTTTTGCACATGATCACATTCGATCATGGCTTGACAAATGGGCAGAGATTAGCTAACTGGAAACAAGCTTCACGCGAGACACAAAACGCTATATTGAAGTAAACGTTCCTACTACTGCTTTGCCTATCTACCTGCCATTGCCAATCTACCACGGTTTCCATACTCTATAAAACATTCTAACACTCTAATCCTAATTAATAATAAATGGTTAAACCAAATATTTAGTAATAGCCTAATACCTAAAAAATAAACAACGTTTAATTTAAGACTTCTACAGTATAAGCCGCGTGTAAAAAACTATTTATACGCATTTAATCGCACATGGTATTCCGTCGATTATATTTTATAAATTATCAAGCAATCTACTCACCACCATATGTAACTAATAACATCACCAAATCACCAGTGTTTTATATTTCCACTTCGCCTTCAATAAAATCTCTATTTTGTTTCGTTCCTGTGTGCATGAAAAAAATGCCTACCTTAAAGTACTCATTCATCCCACTTAACGTAAGCAATTCCTCACTTTTTTCCATCAATTTGGCCGGCCCAGTCAGTGAGACATTAATCTCCGACCGCCTATTTTCATAGCCCCGCTGTAAATGTAACGTAGACTCCCACGGATCCAGAGTCTAGCAGAAGCGCAATTTATTCCATTGATATACTGTGTTATTTTTTTATATATCGAATTCTTTTGAACCTATAACGTTTCCTTTTGAATGACTTTTCTATGAACTAATACGAAGACCTGCCCATCTGTGCATTGATTTACATTTTATACCGCAGTCTCCTTTATTTAATTTTTTCAATCTTGTCCGGCGAAGAGTGTGTATTTATAGAAGGGGTTATTTTGCTCCTAGATCAATAGTCTATCCAAGTTTTCTTCTACTGATTGTATCGCAATGTTTGCCTTACTGATTCTAGCGATAACATGATGTTTTTTATTGCTTTACAGATCGCATGACCGATTGCGCTCCTCTGCTAGCCAAGATGCTACATCTGCTGCTCCGTCGTGCATCTGTTAGGGCAGCAGTTCTGTTGCTAATGCTTCTCGTGGCAAGAGAGGCAAGTGAACATTAAAATATTATGCACAAAATAGTAATTTAAACAATAAAATTGTTACTGTGGAAATTTCAATTTCTTCCGTTGCAAGCAAAGCACACGCACACACGTACGTAGGCATATAGACGAATCATTCGTATCAAACCAAATTGCATTTTCTTTCGATATAAAAGAAATCAATCAATTAAAGAGCACGAGGGGAAGAAATTTTTCATTCGAAGCTTTATACCGAGTATCAAGATCTTTTAATAATGTCGTGCTTTCTGCTGCAATACGTTGATATGAAAAAACCTATGAGCATCAATAATTTATCAAGAATGAATCATCAAACACCTTATTTCAGTATCTCATATCTGATAACTGCGATTCACACTTCAGTGCCGTTGCATCATGATGTAAGATATATCATCTTCAGATACGTCGGCTCGTATTTGTAGGTAATTCATCATGAAGCCTCGTTCAAATATATTGCCCAGAAATACCTGGGTTCCATACACGACTGATGCAGATGGGAATCAAAAAGCTGTCGCCCGAATTTAGCATCGCATGTCTGAGCAAGGCGAAACGGACTTCTGAGAGCCTTACAATTCAGCTTCTCCGTCTGCAGATAGAATTGAGAATTCCGAAAGCTTTTTTTGTTATGCGAAGCAAGAATTTTGCAGGATATGTATATGATTTGACAAGTGAATTTCCAGAGTCGTGGATGGTAGAAGATCTACAATACAGTCAAGAAAGAATAAGTGTATGACACGAACCTGTACAACCTTTCCAGATTCTGAACATGTAAAACACTCTCCCCATGTTTAACATTTATGGCACTTGCATGTTCTGTTCGTTTTGCAGAAATAATCTCTCCCTTGCGTTCACGACCAGGAGCGAACCGTACTCGAGTGCAATTAATTATCAACTATTAAAAATTCTATTTGACATTGTGATGTTCTGCATTTGAAACTGGATCTAAATATAATTTGCACTCGTCGTTTTAGTGCTTCAACAGCAAGTTGTTTCAACTTCACTAGCTCTACTAAATAGGAGTATGGTATGAAAAAAAAAATAATACAAGAACTTGGATCAACTTCACTAGCTCTACTAAATAGGAGTATGGCACGAAAAAGTTAATACAAGAACTTGATTACATTTTTATAGGACCTATAGCTCATGAACATGATTAACTCGCAATACGGACCCATGCACAAACCCAAATTAAAAATTTAAAAACTCTTTAGATTTGTACTGTTCGTTAAAGTAATTAATTTCTGCGAGGTGCTTAAGATCTTTTCGAAGTTCTGCAAGGGTGGCACATATCCAGTAATTACAATATTGGCGTAATTACTAACTCGGTTCTGCGAGCCATGTTAATGTTGCACAAGATATTATGCTTGTATTGGTTCTCGCTAACGAGGTACGCTAATTGCTGGGGCGTTGTGCTGTAGCACGCAACACTGTTTTCGATTTATTTCCAACTGAAACTTACTACTCCCTTCATATTTTTCGTTCATTATCGTCAAAATGTTATTCTGAGTACCGTAGATGTTTCTTTAGCATGCCAATTCAAAATAATGTCGAGTTTACAAAATCTTTTTATTCAAAATGTTTATTGAAATTCTCTACCATGTGGCCCAACAGCAGATAAAAGTTGCCCTAAAACAGCATTTAGGTCTGTATTAAGTGTAAAAATCTTGATCTCCATCTTTAAGTCGTTGTTGGAGATTTGACGTTTTCATTAGTCCTGAAAAAAGTGATGATTCCTTGAGAATAATCTACAATATTTTACTTACAATTTTCTTTTGAGAAATTGAAAATATGTTCGCTTTTAATTAAAAAATGTGCTCATGTTAAATACAAATAAAAATGTTCGAGCACCATCAATAAGTTTCCCTGAAGATACTGTTGACGCTCCGAGTATGCATATGAACGCGTTTATGAACAGACTATAGACAAGGCCATGCAGGAGCATATGTTTAGTCTTGAAATCCGTCGTATACTACGGAACAACTGAAACCTAGAAACGATTTTGAATCTACCGTCCGTTGAAAAGATTGGATCAAAAGGCCAGTCTGGTCAAGAAAAATACAAGAATCAGCGACAAGCCTATCCAGGCCTATTCTTCATTGCCAAAGATACTATACTATACTATACTATACTATTATATACCATACTATACTATACTATACTTTACTATACTATACTATACTATACTATACTATACTATACTATACTATTATGTACCATACTATACTATACTATACTTTACTATACTATACTATACTATACTATACTATACTATACTATACCATACTATACTATACTATACTATACTATACTATACTATACTATACTATACTATACGATACTATACTATACTATACTATACTACTAAGTTTGATGTCGCATTATCAAGTATTTGAACGCGTCAATTTTTGTAACGGTTGTAAAATTTGTAACATTGACCGAAAAAATGCAGCCTAATTTTTCGTTCGTCCGTTAAACTTCATCAGTTTTGAAATAAATTTCTATGCAAATATTATCCACTAATTGTGCTTGAATTCTTTTGGTTTAGGTTGCCCACATTTTTCTTAACTTTTAAAATATTAACGAAAAATTTTCAGTGTTTTTAAAGAATGGATTAAATTGTACGTTTTAAAAATGTCCATGTTATCATATAATTAGTATAGGTTGACAGAATTTCTTCTTTCAAGCAGGTTTCATTGAAGACCAGAGAATTTGTTTTATTCGCAATTTTCTTATTAGATATCGATGATACGAAGCGTATCATCGATATACGCAGTCTAAACACGAATATCTTCTCGAGGATGACGTGCATTAAAGGTTCCAACCCCTGCTTGTGAGTTCCTTTAGAGTTTATACGCCTGGAAACGTGCAACAAATTATTGATTATTGTATTGTTATCGGGAGCTGAGCTTCCCTAAAAGTTTCAGAGCGCTAGCTAATGGGAAAGTTGGTGAAATATCGATTACAAGATTTGATCATCACAGACACGAAAGCGAGCTAAGAAAAACGTAGTAATAAAATGTCCATCGGTAACCTGATTTTCGATTTGCCAGTTCAAACTAAAAATATTGTTCGATATATTGAAAAAACTAATAAGAAAATTGCGAATAAAACAAATTCTCTGGTCTTCAATGAAACCTGTTTTCATATAATTATATGAATGATTTTTGAAGAACCTGCCGATAGACTTCCTCAGAAACCCGCGACCCAGCGAAGATCTGCGTATTTTCTCGTTTCTTAAAATCTGCGATGAAACGAATCCACGTTATGTTAAGCGCGATATAGCGAGGGATAACTGTAATTTTCACTACTTTTCTTCGAGAAGCCACTGTATATACGCCCAACATTTGCGTTTAAACGCAAACAACGGAAGCGAAAATAACAATTCCCTCAGCTTGTGCAAGACTTGATTCGTGGCCAGTCCGCGATCAGAGATGAGGTGTTCTAATTGGACCGTGTCTGGGAGACGTCGATATATTACGTGCCGCGGGCTCCAGCAGGCAATGTCGAGAGCGGCGGTATCCTGCAGCTGCAGCCGGTGTTCCGCACTCGAGAAGTTCCTAGTGGGGGAACTTCTCATACCAACGGACACTAAACTTTATACCTGACAACGGAAACTAACTCTTGATGGCCGAAATTCCATGCTTCACATTCAGGTAGCAAATATTCCCTTTTATGTAATTCACAAGTGCTTCGAAGACGAGCTTCAATTCAAACATTGTTGTTTACGGAAACAAAGTGACTGTACTTACAGTCACTTACTTTTTTTACTTTTTTTTCATTACGATGGCTTGATGGTACGTATAGTGCATGGGTTATATAGGTTATATAATAATTCAAAAGCAAAGAAAATGCCATGAAAATTCATCAAATTGTAATTGAAACGTCCATTTCACACAAATTTCATTACGACTCAAAATTTTTGTTTAAAATTAAAGTTTGTACATTTTTCAGGCTTCTTATTGCCGTCATCCTCTTAGGTAATTTTGGGTTTTATCGATCATTTGATTTTAACAATGATTTTTGAGCGCGCAAAGGTTAGCCATCCATAATTCGGAGTTTCTTACATCAAAGCAGCAAGTTTTGACAGCGGTATATATTCAAAGACATTTTGTTGAAATGTGGTAATCCTTAAGTCATGGGCCGTAAGATGGAGCAATTTTACTTCCTTTATCACTAAAATACGAAAAATATAACTTTCAACACTATATGGGATATAAATTTCAACAATCCTGTGAGCAGGGTTGGTTCGGTTATAATCATAGAAGGAGATTGAATTTAGGAAAAATTTGTTGAATCAGATTTTCACTTACAAATCAACAACATATAAGTTAATCAAAAATTTTTAACATAATTTATTTTTAAATTAATTTTTTGTAATTTTTACGACACTCGACGTAAAAAAGAAGCTGTATAGTGCAATTTAAACGATCAAAAAAATATGATGCTCTACATCTATTGCGAACTATTAAGAATTTTTTACTGTCATCACTCGCGCAACGGCGGCCCTGTACCACAACTTAACATAGTTCAGCGACTTGCCTGTGGGCGAATGTATTGAAGTTTCCGGAACTCGATAACTTACTTGAGATAGCCGGCATGATAATGACCGCTCTTTTCTAGGGCTTAATAACGACGTGGCTCGATGCGGAATGTTTACAAGTATTTAAAGAGGGCGCCAGAAAGCAGGATGAACATTCTTCATAAGACATAAAATGTTTAGTCCCTGATAATGAGATGCCGCCTACTGCTGAAAGAACGCTTGCACGCAAGATACCCCTAAAATACAAGCATTTATCTTTCTTAATTAGGGCGGAGTAGAAATCTATTTGTTGATATATACATTAGATTTGTGACACTCCTTTATCTTTTTTTCTCATAGACCGCGATCGAGGAAACATGTAGTGACACATGCTTCGTTATTTCTTATATTAATTTTACCGCGCGATAACATGCAGTAAAAAAAGAAGTAGATTTAATTATTCGATAATTATTGGCACATTACAGGTAAAAATGTATTAAAAATGTGAAAATTGTAGAAATGCTTATTGGATTAAAAAGAGCCTATTCTTCGTTTGGACTATACTATTTTTAGCCGAATGCTTTAATATGAATAAAATAAAATATCAACGAACGGGACGCAATTTATATCGTTTCATCAATCTGGAGATTATCATCTTTCCTTGTCGATATTATTTCAAACAAAAATTTTCATCAGAGAAGCTAGAGGTCAAAGACGCGAGCACTACAAAGAACGCGTAAAACCTTTCATGATCAAAATTGAATAATTTATTTGAAAATATAAGGTTTTGAACCGCTGGCAAAATATATATTGCCGAGGGTGTGCGCTTTGATGAGCAATTTTTCTCTTGAAAGAAATTAATCTCGACTCTGAGAGATGAATAAAGAAATCCTGAAATGTTGATGCTCCAGAGAGGTTATAAACAAGCGTGTAAATATTTGTATATGTTGATTTTTACTGAAAATAAATGAAAAATATTGCCATTACTCATACATGTGATGATATTATGTTGCGCATATTGTACATATCTTGATTAAAATAACACTGAAAAGTACGGAATTTTCATTCGTAACTCTAACATTTTTCATTATAGTTACTGGAAATTTTCCACCTTGATATTAACTAAACTATATAAACTAAAGAATATTTACGTAATTTAAGCAATTTTTCAGCTAGCAAAATAATTCTAAATATTCCAATCAAAGTGAATTCCAGTACGCACGAGTATGCCTTTCACTATATGTAGTACAATTTCTTAACAATATCTTGATTGTGGATTTGAACAACTTATTGTCTTTCTGATACGATGATCTTCATTACATTTGAAATAACAGAAAAATATTGCTATCACGAATGATAATTTTGATTTTTATGTAAACACATCAGCATTATTTAAAATAAATCAAACTTCTAAGACGTTTTACGCATTTAAAACGTTGTACAAGTTTAAATGCCTCAGCTCGATTTTCAAAGCAACTTGCTTTCTTTCCCCTATAACTTTTCATCCATATAGGAATTAAAGCAATTCAATTCCTCCCCAATTTCTCAATTATAGAAGGGGGTAAATCGAATGATTAGAAGAAAAATCATATCATTAGTAAATAAAGAACGCAGCTTCTTTACTCGAAGCAAGTTTCACACAGTATAGAACGAGGCACTGAACATTTATTGGTAGTCACTTAGAAATATCGAGTTCGATTTATTGTTCCGTTGTTTGTTGCTTGTCAAAAATCTGTTATTTTATGGCCTGGTTCAGTTATTTATATTATAAAACAACCGTCGATTTTAAATGAACCAATCAGGAAAAAAAAACAATATTGTCATACATTTTTTAGCCGATATTTTATCGAAATCAAATGTTGACATTGTTCGTACAGAACAATATACATGTATATATATATATATTTAAGCACGAGTAGTTAATGACCAGAGAAATCATTGATTTAAATTTTCACGAACGAACAATATTCTTCAGTGGACGTTGGTTGATAAAAATTCAGGTTCAAGGAAGTAATTTAATTTATTAACGACGTTTCGAATGTGACATCATTCATTTTCAAGTTATAGGAAGCATTGAATACTGAAATTTTAGCGGAAATAAGTACATGATACACGTAAATATGATACAACACGAAAATTTGGAACCGCGAAAATAATTCCGAAACAATCTCAAAGTTCAGAAACCAGATTCGACCGACGATAGCTGAAGCCCTCATCTCTACGGATTGGACTTGCTACTCGTCTCATAACTACCGGATTTTCTGAACTTTGAGATTGTTTCGGAATTATTTTCGCGGTTCCAAATTTTCGTGTTGTATCATATTTACGTGTATCATGTACTTATTTCCGCTAAAGTCACATTCGAAACGTCGTTAATAAATTAAATTACTTCCTTGAACCTGAATTTTTATCAACCAACGTCCACTGAAGAATATTGTTCGATCGTGAAAATTTAAATCAATGATTTCTCTGGTCATTAACTACTCGTGCTTAAATTAGCTTATTCTGCTATCTTATAGTAATATATATATATATAGATCCGACTTGAACAGTTTTCGTAACATTGATAGGGAACAATTCTAAGGGAGGAATTGAATCTCCTTCGTCAGCCTAGAGATATATCCTCGTGATAACAAAAATTGGACCAATTATTAAGCTCAAGCTGATTTTTTGATACATTCAAAATTCTCAAGTTTTATTGGTGAGAAATGTCGGATGGAGCAAAATATCGACTAACAATCTTAACTATTACGTGTTGAAATATTTATTCGTTAAATTTCCCATTTGTCCAGATAGCATATTGATTGATATGTTTTTGATAAATGATATGAATTAAGATGAGCATCTTCCAATAAAATGGCTTTAGACGCGAATCTCATTGAGGGATCTAAAAAAATTTTATTCAACCATGGAATTCATTCTAAAAGCTTTACACAGATGGCAAGGAGACTAAATTTCTACATACAGTAGAGCAACATCCTTATTTACAATTGAAAAATTGCTACAGATATATATCGAATCAAGTTCAGCACATTCTGAGATGAAGTGACAAATAATCTACTTGAATAAATGTAAATTATTTGGCTTATAAATTCAACTTCCTCTAATAGTTTCCGCAATATATCCACTTCAGCGCAGAGTTCTTGTAGTATCCTTAACTACTAACACCTTAGGGAGCTCAAGTAATATCCACTTCCTTGAATATTTACCGTTATATCCACTTTATCGGTTAGGAACTATCCGAGTAAGTGGATATTGGAGTATGTGGATGGTATGTCATATCCAATTCCTCGGATATCTATCCGAAAAACCACTTCCTCGGATTATTTCCGTTATACCCAATTATTCACATCAGTAGTAATAATTTTTATACCTGCAACTACTGATGATTATTTGCCATCTGCAGAAATTATAAATTTCTTAATATTTAAACAGAAGATCAGAAGATTATTATGTGTTAAATACAACATTGCATCATATACTACAAAGTAAAATGACTACACATTATCATCTTGGCAAGATGAAATTAAAAAGTTAAAATTTTAAAACTTCATCATAATTATAAAATGAAATCAATTGAACATAATTTTTGTTGTTTCATCATTGATACTCTATGCATATTGAGACGCCTTGAAGGAAGCTTCGTAGTGCGATCACATGAAGCGCCCTACTCAAGTGACATGCACTCCCTGCTCTGATGAATAATATTTTTTAATCTCAATAAGACCTATGCAAATCAATGGCGTCTGAATAATCAGTACTGACTATGGCATGAAATAGTCAGAGGAAAGCTTCGAATTTTGAATGGCCGACGATTGGCCGAAGATAATTTTATACCAGGTATTTTATCGAGATCAATCACAATAGATTAATTCGATTTGCTATGAGAACCGAGTGATTCATTTCGTTAGTAATGTTTACTTATTATCCATTAGTCTATGCCTGATAATGTAAATGATAAATGATTTATTTTTTCGGCAGATTTAATTTCGGAGATCGTTGATTTTTTAAATCGACAGATGTAAATTTTGTAACGATCTCTTGTAATTGCCCAGCACACTTGGATAGAAAGTAACCACACACAAACAATACAGAAAACACCAAACACAGTCAGACTTCAATTTAAAATGAGATGAAATGATTGCACAGTTTGTATTCCATATCTGCCACGTTTTATATTTTTGGCGATAAATTACATTTTTATTTTTAGCTATAAAGCGTCAATGTGTATAAAAAATTTGCACGAGCTGTTTTCAAAAATTCCCACAAATATAATTACGAATTTCGCTTAAATTTTATTTATTTCAGTTTTGTACGTCCACGCAAGTTAAACAGTCATTCTCTTCTTGATTAAGCCCTTTGAATGTCTTGTCTTACTCCGCCAAACTTATCTGCTGTCATTAAAACTTGGACTCTGTAAAGGCAAGACTTTAAATTGGAGTTTTTGTGGCCAGATAAATCTTGGAGTCTTTATTATTGTGTTCATATCGAGCAAGAATACGGTTTTTAACAGAATTTTTACTAATAAAAATGTAGCAGAAGCTGTTGAATGCAATACCTAAAGAATATTTTGCGTGATTGATGCATCCATGCGAAGTTCACTTATGAAGCCATTTATGGAGCTAAGTCACAAGTCCGTACAGACAAATATAATCACACATTAAGTACAATCATAATTATTCAGTTAATCCAAAGCCGGGAATTGAATATACAATTCCAATGAATTTTTATTTTTTAGTTGTAAGGAGTAATACTGATAAAATATTTATTATTTTTCAATTTGTCCACCCCCAGACTCGGGGTGACGAGCTACGTCTCGTGGAAGTGATGACGACAGTCAATTCTCGCCATCTGACCACCACCGTCACCGCCACCCTCGTCAACCCTGGCGAGGCAGAACAGGAGCTTGTCTGCCGGCTGGACCTGCCTTCCCGAGCCTACGTCACAAATCTTGTTATGTGAGGCATATGTTATTGCTCGTTATATGCATTTGTTTCTAATCTTATTTGAGAAAAAATAACTAATAGGGTTATAGATCTGCCCATCCGATCCGAACCCATGTTACGAATGTTATGTGAGGCATATATTATTACGCATTATATGATTTTTTTCTAATATTATTTGAGAAAGAGAGATCTTAGGGTAATAGATCTGCCCATTCGAGCCCATGTTACGAATCTTATGTGAGGCATAGAGTATTTTGTACTTTTAACGATTATTCGAGACAAATCAAAGTGTTCATGGTTATGCGGGACTACCCTGTCAAAATTTACGCGCGGCTATCCTTCCGATTTCGGTTGCGACTCTCGGATTAGAGATGAATCAGATGCGAAATGGCCGCCTCTTCTATTTAGCCGCCAAATAGGAGCTATTTTGAGTAGTTTCGTGGAAAAAATATAAGGGTCAAATGACACACGAAATCAGTGGCTGGTCAGGCCACCATTGGCTTACCCCTGTCTCTTATACACATCTAGATGTGTATAAGAGACAGTCATAATAGTTACTAGCTGTAAACGTCTTTGCATGAAATTGAGCCTCTGATAGACTGTGCTCTGATCTTAAAACTAAGCGAGTAGTACTATATATACCGCACATATATATAACGTACATAGATTGAAATGCCCCCTCCCTTCCCCCCATAAGGGGGGAAGGGAGGGGGCATTTTTTTAACGCATTTTTCATATTCGGCCGTGTCTGTCCCGAACGTATCAGGTACCAAATACGCGCGCCCCACGATCGCCCCAAGCTCGACGGGTATTTCACAAGATTCCATTTCGGCGCTTATTTCGCTCCGGCAACCGGAACCTAAAGCGGACATAGAGCTTCTAATTTACACCGTAACAAGAATTTGGGGCGTCCTTGTGCCAGCGGCTGACAGGAATAAAAGTTTCGATAGGGTATATTAAATTTATAATATCGCGATTATATTATATATTATATATTTTGTTATAAATATTTTGTGTAAATTACTTTGTAGGTTATTCGGGTCATCAAGGTCACGCCAGTCATGCGTTGAAAAGGTTACTAGGTTAGGCGAGTTATTAATGATGGTAATGCCCCTCAGTTTTCATGTATACAGATACTATTTACGCCATGCTTTATTTTCTGTTTCGAATAATCTTATAATGTGTTTAAATGTATAAACTCAAAAAAATCGTCAATCAAAGTTATTGCAAACTTCAAAGCCGCGATTAACATTTCATCATTTTATACCCTAAATGAATTCGGCCACATCACATTAGCTCATATGTATTTCAAAGAACTAAACCGTAAACCTTACTGTAATATTAAACGTATTTCAATTTTAACTCATCGATAATTTGAACATACAAAACTCATCCATATTTCCTTCGTTCTATTCGACGAACGTTTCTGAAAACGGTTTTTTCTGCATCTGAATCAATGGTATGTAAAATTAATTGAACTTGTTTGTAAGAACGTTAATACAGTGACTTCAATTCGGCTTAGATGCAGCTATCACAATTCTTAATGCCCCTTAATTACGAACTCGAACTCTAGCATGTTATTAATTTGTTCGATACTATAGACAGATTCGGTTTCTTATTTATTTTAATTTATTCAAAGATAATCAATAGATAATCATGGATAATCATTTTTATATTATCACTTTCCGTGTCGCTGTCACTAATCTCATAATTTTCCGACATCAATATCATTGATCAAATAATTTATCGTTTTCCGACCGCTTTTCGCAGCGATGTCGGCGGCAGGAATCACACGAGTTCCGTGCAGAAGCGCGGGCGTCGCAGCAAGCGCATCGGGAGCACGCAGCCCGAGGCTTCACTCGCCAATTATTTTTCCATCCGTAAACGGTAAGAAAACTTCGCCTAAAACTTCCCTCCAAAACTTCGTCCAAACATCGATAAAAAATCACTTAACTGTGCCGCCAGAAAATATTTGTGGGTCTCAGGTCTTTTTATCGTTAATTGATCTGTTATCTAATCGAAATGGTGCTACAGGCCATAGGAATAAAGTGCATCCATTTCTAACTATACCACTAATTCAATTTTCAAATTAGAATTTCAAATTTGATCTGAATCCAGTATCAAATCAGAACATTATTTTCTAGGGCCAAAAATTACCATCAAAATCGTAGTACTTAAACTAAAGTCTAAAGCACTCTTTATAATAATCCCTGAAGAACATAAACTAGTCTTGCATTCCAATGATTGAGATGGCAATCGCGTCCGTCCGACGATAATAAGAACCGAGTATTGCATGATGCAAATTCCTTCACTGCTTGCTGTCCTTACTTGATGCACATATACTTGCTACGACGCAGTAACTTTGCGTATACGGCAGCAGTTTACGACCCTAATTAAAGTTATTCGCTAATCAGGGGCGGCCGAACATAAACCAACGAAAAGCCGTTTGTTCCCTCACAACTATTTTATTGTCTAAGCTCCTGTTCCTAAGATATGTGATAGAGTGAAGGTAGCCTAACCTTGTAAAAATGTCAATTGATGTGATGTCTGTTGCGCAGTGTTTTGTGATCTCCTCCTAACCTTGGTCTCAGTGTTTTCTACTGACTTTTTGCGAGCTGACTTTATTCCCAATAATGGCTTCTTCCCTCACAAATGAAGCTGCTGCAGCGACTTAAAAATTAGTTTTGTGTTTTTACGAAAAGAGCTTGGCGAATTTTTGAAGACACTTATGCTGGCAGTCTAATTTTGAAGACAGAAATTTTCGGTGCTAATAACAGTTAAATTAAGAAATTCTTCATTGATAACTTTAACCCAGTAGGTGTTTTTTTGGCAAAACTTTCTTGAAATAGATTTTAGGAACCTGTTTACCATGACCTTGCATATAAGGGACATCGTAAACGTTAATCACTTCCGTCATATTTATCGTTAGTGGCTTTAGTCAGAGTAATTGTTATTCGCATTACTCAAAGTTATCTTTAGTCACATTGTTCAGAGTTATTGTTAGTTACTTTAGCTATAGAGTTAACATCAGTAACTTACGATAGATGTGCGCTAGTCATTTAAGTCATCAGTGTGAGTGCTAGTCACTTTGGACAGAGTTAGCTCTAGACTTAAGTCTGAATTAGGGTGAATTTTTCTAGGGCGCCAAACGATTGCAATAAAGTTGGCTTCAAAGGTTTTGAGCATGTCTTTTCCAGACGATCCAGGACAAAACGTAATTTTTTTAATTGGTTAAATTGAATTTGAGAAATTGTTATTCGTTTTTACAGTGAGGGTGGACTGCAACGGTTTCGTGCAACTGCTACCGTGGCTGGCAAGTCTGAGGTGAAGTTCTACCTCACATACGAGGAAGTTCTGAAGAGGAACAAAGGTGCCTACAACCCAACCTTTTTCTTCCCACCGTCCCAGGTTTGTACCACCAGGAAGTTCTGAAGAGGAACAAGGGTGCCTACACCCCAACTTTTTTCTTCCCACCGTCCCAGGTTTGTACCACCAGGAAGTTCTGAAGAGGAACAAGGGCGCCTACACGCCAATTTTTTTCTTCACACCGTCCCAGGTTTGTACCCACATGGAAGTTCTGAGGAGTAACACTGGTGCCTACGCCCCAACCTTTTTCTTCCAACCGTCCCAGGTTAGTACCCACATGGAAGTTCTGAAGAGGAACAAAAGGGCGCCTACGCCCCAACCTTTTTCTTCCCACCGGTGCAGGTTTGTACCACCAGGGAGTTCTGAAGAGGAACAAGAGCGCCTACACCCCTACAAGCTTGTACTCATCCCCGTCGCAGGATTGTTCATCCGAATCAAATGCTATGAGGGACCATCTTAATTCTCAATTAGTCAAATTGAAATTTCGAGTACATTCTTACGAGTTCTACATTGTATAGAGATTTGTGACTTGAAAGGAGTGTTGTTATCTTTCTGCTTCAATATTGTTCAAATTTATTCTATGTTCTCATATGAATAACCATAACTGAAAACATTGAAGGCATGTGTTTCACTATTATTTATGTATTACTCAGTGAAATTTTAACACTGATTAACATTTGTCATTCTTGTCCGAGATTTTTTTTACTTGCTTATGCTTTGAATTCAATAAGATTATACGCAACGCAGATTGGTCATGAAAAACTGATTAAAAAAATTTATGCTTTATAGCTTCCAGTTTCGACTGAAAAATGTTACTATGCCCCCCCCCCCAGTCTTGTAGATTTCAATTTCCTTTATGCAGAAGCAAAAAAAAATTGTAATGAAATATTTTGCTCAATATATTGGCGTTTCTCCTGACTAGAACTGCTTTGAGGTGGTCCGATTTATTTGCAATAGGCATATTTACAGCAGTCAATGTATGATTGTTTGCACATTCTTTTTTATTAGAAATAATAATATTGTTTTCTAGGAAAGTTAGTATTTTCTCATACATGGATTTATAGGTGCTATTGGTTATGTTCATTGGTCATTACTCATATCCTGTTTTACTCAATTAAAAGATTTAAATCTGTCAGTTGATAAGGACATTGAATACGCTAATTACACATTCTGGAAAATGCTCATCCGTTCGAGTTGTAGGATACAAATACATATAAATCGATGTATAAATTTCTAAAATTGCTAATTCAACTTCCTGCAATTTTCCGATTTTCACATCAAATAGTATAGGATCAATAATTCTTCTGAAGCGACGCTAAATGCGTTGCCATTTTCAACTCCTACAGGATCATTTATTTCCAAGTTCCCGATCTCCTCACTTTATTTTAGTGCCGCTGCAGAAGTGACGTCTAATTTTTACACCCAGCTCTTAAAGCTTGCCTGACCAACCTAGAAGAAATCCAATATCTCGCTGACGTTCCTGTGAGATTCAATCAGTAAGCGTAAAAGTTCTTGAGGACGCTTCATTTTGCTGAACGTTGACGAAGTTTCGCTGAGTTTCGTGGTCGTGGAGGTCGAGCCTTTTGCCATCCTCAAACTCCAAGAGGGTTTTTTGACGGCGTTGATAAAGTTAATAAAATTCGAGTTTAACGTCCATAAAAATTATTCATTTCATTTCATTAGATTTTAAGCAGGAATTTGGAAATTTAGCTGCGAGACCGTGAACGGCTTGTTTAAAATTATGGTAATAGGGAGGATTTTGAAGTCAGGTAGAATTTGCTCGCAAGGAAAGTTGAGAGTTAATAGCATTTATTTTACAGCGAGTCGTCGAAGTTTCGCTGAGTCTCATGGTTAAGGAGGTCGAGCCTCTGGCATTCGCCAAACTCCTTTCCGTGCCGAGCAACGCCTCCTCCAGCCAGGCCCTCGATTCTGCGGCAGGTATCGATTATAGTTATTACAAATTGGGAGTGTGAGTATGTAAATCAAGATAATGCTAGAAGGTTCCCTCAATTTTTCTGAGCGCGATGCCAAGAAAGTTCTACTAGGTACTAATATCGAAATTAGTATCGATTATAGTTATTGAAAATTGGGAGTGTCGGTATGTAAATCAAGCGAATGCTAGATGGTTTACTCAATTTTTCTGAGCGTGATGCCAAGAAAGTTCTACTACTAATATCAAAATTAGAAACTCGTATCAAATTTCACACCTTTAATTAATTTATTAAGCTTATAGCGCATTTTCTTAGGCAGTTACCCAAATTGTATATACTTAATCATCATCTTAAATAAGTCGTTAAATTTTATTTTAAATGTCATGCTGAATAACCGTGACGACTCGCATTCATTATTAAAAAAACTTTTTAACTCACAACACAGACTAAAATAGTTGTAACAAATTCATCGTGTATTTTTCAAAAAGTTAGCATTTATCAAATGGCGAGCATGAATCCCCAATATTGGAGAGAATCTCCGTAGAGTTCCCTGTTAGTGCGCGGCTTAGTCCTGATGGCAGCTATCGGATGAAGACTTTCAAAGCTGTCCCCCGATTGCTCGTGGTGACAAATGATGGCAATCGAGGCATTCAGCGAGCTGTTACCGCTGCATTCCGTCTCAATGCCAACCTAGGCTCTTAGAGGGCAAAAGTATAACTAAGTGCAAAGACAAATGGTGAACGTTTATTCATAAAATCGTGCAAAATTATGTATAAATATCTTTAATGAGCGACTTTTTCTTGCTCCACAACGGTCTTTAATCAAGATCGGAAAAATTTGGCAGCTTTTCAGAAGCGACCAAATTATTTCAGAAAAAAAAAATATATTTCTGCTAGTGGACTCGTTATGAAGCAAAGTCATAATTGCGGAGGGATTTATTCCCGCGATTTAGTCATTTTCTGCAAAAAAAAAATCTGCAAAATTACATTTTTTCACCCAGCAGGGAGAAAAATCATTAGAACACAAGCTCATATCTTGACATAGGATATATTTTTAGAAGTTTAACATGTGAATTAAATTGCACGATATGCAATATTTTCCCATGTGTTCACATATTTTCGTCCATGCTAGATAATTGAAACAAAATGTACAATAAATGCATTGTAATATATAGAGTTCAGTGTGAATGAAAATATTTAATTTAATAAATAACTGCGGCAATAATATTTTTAGTCGTTCAAATGAATTATTTCATGGACAAAAATTCAACCCGTAGTTCTTCTGTACGACGCGATGCCAATTTTCAAAATTAAATTTTGGGTTCAAATATTATCCCGACACAGTATAGGTATTGCGGCTGCGCGGTCGAACAGCCCCCACTAATATACAGTTATAGGTTTCAAACACACACGCAGTAAAAAACTTACTAGAATAAAAAAAACGCTTTGATTTGGGCATAAATTCTTTTGAAATAATTGCAATTAAATCGCTCTTCAATAATGATTCATTTTACAGAGTCAACTCATGATTATATAAAGATGTCGATAATGTTCATTTAATAAGAAATACCGAATAAATTTCAGGCTTCATTTAAGTGGGCATTTTCACAAATACCTCTAATTTATGCCTTGCGAAATTAAACTGTTCTCATTCATCGACGCAGTTTTATTTGCACATTTAAACAGCTTGCTTCATCGGAATTCTCCCTCAAAAAGTTTTCATTTGTTTATGTTTAAATTAACATCAAAATACTTGAATTTGACGCCAAAGATGTCCATTCTACAGCCTTTAAATATTTTAAAAACTTGTGAATTTAATACATCCAATATAATTCATGCATGCCTAATCCTATTATATTATAAAAATTAATTTTCAACTCATAAATTGGACGGAAAAACAGTACTGACACATTTTGTACTTTTTCCATTTGATTTGAAATGATTACTTTTGATTCGAATTCCTAGACATCAATTTCTACCCATGATTTAAAATTATGACTTTTCTTAAAAATTCTCTAAAGTTTGTAATAAAATAGCATTTCTGATCATTTTTATTGACAATAATGGACATCGGAGCATTGGAAACTAAGATAAAATCTTCAGCAATCAAATGAAGGGAGCTAACATAATTCAAACGATTTAAACTTCCTCATGTGTAATATAAATGCAGCTGATTGCCTTTTGTATTTCAGCCCCTAATTATAAGCTCAATCTTCCCCTCTATAACACTTGCATTCCCCAATCGCGAGAATTGCGTCCCGCTGATGTACATTTTTTGGCAAGCTGATTGCAAGGGAAATTTTTAGAGTAGTTTGCATTTGACCGGATATAAGATGGGAATTTTGGACCAGCTCAATCCCGCAGTGAAGACATCTAAATTTCCTCATCAATTTCGAATATTAATCCTGAATATTTTTTGACGGTGTTGGAAGTTTAAGCTATAAAACCTCCTGAATGGTAGGTCTTCTTTAGAGCGTTGAGTTCGAGGTGTAAAATACTAAAATTGAATTTTTTTATTGCAATTTATAGAGATTTTTTAAGCTACGTTGGAATAGACTTATTGTATTGGAATGACATTCGGGTAAAAAATTTCTACATCATCAGCAGGAGTTGCAATTTTATTCATTATATAGTTTGTTTTATCACTTTATCTAACTAAATTTTATGAATCAACGGATAGATAAACATTATCGTTAATTCATCAATGACCTAGCGATTTGAAACCGGAAGACGCGTTCATATCGTCATCTGTTCTTGTTCTTTCATGGACTACTATTCCGAAAATTTTTAATTTGAATGTAATTTTTTACCTAAACTTCAGAAATTGAAAATAAATAATGTTCATATCCGTCGTTTCCATTCACGTAAGTTTTCATTTTTTCCCAACTGAATTTTGTCTGTTGTATTTTCCCCTCCTAATCAATCCCACAGCCATATTAGTCCCCACTTTGTACAGCTGTGGTGGCCCACATCCCGGGCTCGAACTTCGCGCTCGTGTCCTACTCGAGCGCCAGTGACGCGCTCTTCACACGCGCCTCCCGCGACCTGCCACCCTTCCACTTCTCCTACGACGTGGAGCGCAAGCCCGATGGTGGAGAACTCCAGGTAATCTACATTAATAGTATTTTTGTAGTGAAGGTTATTAGGAAATCTTATCATTCATTATTTCTATTCGGTTGCAATCTTAGACAACGCGTCTTTTTGCTCAAGACGGATGGTAATTAACCTTATTGTTTTATTACATACGATGCAAGCCAACAAAACGGTGTACTTGTTAAGAAAATTATCCCGGAGATATCTTGATCATATTGTGAGCTACGAAAGCTTGCTAGGTGCTGTGATCCACCTTTTATCAAGTTCTATACTATATTCTTTAAACGAACAAACACAATTGACTTTCAGGTACAAATGCTTAAATTGGACCACTTGAGAACAGTTACTTGCCGCCGAAAAAACCTATTAATTTGATGACAATTAAAATTGTTATCACATACTTATTCTGACGAGGCGCATCACGATTCATGCAGTCGTTTGTGACATGAATCAAGATAATATTGATATTATTATTGGATGTTGGATAACCTTATGGATCACGACTCGTTACTCCACAATTGATCGTAAATTTGAAAATAACTTGAATGCTCATGAAATTCTTGTTTTCATGAAACATGAAAAATTAACTCGAACGAATGCTGTGATCATTGGACTTGGCCAGCATTGTCGTCGACATAGAGCTTCATTAATCTTCGCTGGGAAACGATCAGTCGCCTTTAATGTATCAATAACAATATTGGAAATAACATTATAACAAATTTAAATGGAGAACATTCATTTCAAAAGATCATTTTTAAACTTTTTTTTCAATATGAAGGAAACTAAATTCCTTTTAGATTCAAATCAAATGTGCATTTCGATGAAATTAAAATGCCTTCAGTTAGATTGTATCTGTAAAAACGTGCTTAAAGTTTATGGAAAACGAATTAATAATGTAATGATTTAATAAAAATGTATGATAAATAGATGAAAATGAGCTGAAAATTCACAGAAAATTTTTAAATATAATTGAAATCTGTACGGAAAATGTTTGAAAAACTCATTGAAAATGTAAAAAAAAAAAACAAATTATCGCTGCATGAGAGATGCATGGAAAGAGTATGAATAGATTCCATCATTTAACAATATTTCAGTTATCACTCAAACAACAGATTAAAAATCCTCCAGGTCACCAACGACAATAAAAGTTAAGATAATTCATCTTTAATTATTCCGTTTAATTTTGAGTTGAAAAACACTTTCTGTTGACACAAATTGTCAGAGGTGTTTCGCATAAATCTGTTCTCAAAATCCCCTGCGTGCAGGTGTCAGGAACAAATTTCGTGCTTTTCTTCGCCCCCGAAGGCCTACCCGGCCTCACGAAGCACACAGTCTTCGTGCTCGACATCTCAGGCTCCATGGATGACAACAATAAACTGGATCACCTCAAGGAAGCCATGAAGGCCATACTCAATGACTTCAAAACTCAGGACTCCTTCCAGGTCGGTCATCCCAGCTAAAATTTGACGCAGTTTTTGAGCCGGGTTGGCGCAGCGCAGGGCAGGCTAGAAGCAGTAAGGGAGCAGGCATTTGGCAGGCATGCCATTTTTTAGGATTATATATTTAATGAATGAAATTCATGCTGCAAAACGGTCGCTTTTGGCGACCGTTTGTAAAACCGAAATAGAGTACTATTTTGGTTTAAATTCTGTTCCGTGGCTACAATCGTCGAAGCCCTCTGCTCCGAGTTTAAACAGGGCAAGAAATATATGTGAATTTCATGCGCTATGACTTCAAGCCACGCGACTCAAGACAATGACTTTATTCCCATTCTAAAAGGTCACCTAAAAATTACGTCTAGAAGGAGCTGCGTTGAAAGTAAAAGAAAATTAAATAAAACCTCTCCTTATCAATATTTTATCTCAACTTCTTTACATTTATTCTTGACCATTTATTATTCAATTTCATTGCTTACGTTTAGCTTTCAATTGAGGTAAACTCCTTCGTGTTTCTGTACCACACTCTTGTGTTTGCAATTATATCTCGTGTTCAGGTATATGCTTTTCACGTCTTTTTCCAAACCTCATGTGAATCGCGTTGTCAATCAATATATAGATTGTTCCACGTTGAGTTGATCACGCAGATAAAACGCAGTAGAATTTACAATGGCACTAAGTTTAAATTTGGTGTGATTTGAAATTAAGAATTTATGGATAAAATACGAAATTATATTATGAGATAGATTTTTCACTATAAGTGTTATTTAATTAGATGACGCGTTGATTCAGTAATTTTGACTGCAATTGCAGAAAAAGAAAAATAGTAATCTACAAATGAATTGACTCGAGTTTAGAATTAAAGAAATTTTATAAAAATATGATACTTCGCATCTCATTTGTTAATTTATATCCACACCATAATACCTGCCTCCTCTTCCGTTAGTTAATGTACAAAATAGTGAATACCGCTGATCTTCACCTGATAATAAGCTCATAGGTAATAAATACCACTGAACTCTAATAGATCATTGGTTCAAAATAGTAAATACTAATGATCTCCACCAGATCATAAGCTCAAAGTATTCAATATTACTGAACCCTTATAGATCATAGGTTCGAAATATTAAATACCACTGATTCAAACAGATAATAAACTCAAAGTATTAAGTAGCTCCACTGAACTCATAGATCATAGGTTCAAAGTAGTAAACAACACTGTTCTACCTCAGATCATTTAATATTAAGTTCAAAGTATTAAACACCACTGAGCTCTTATAGACCATAGGTTCAAAATAGTAAATATTACTGATCTGCACCAGATCATAAAATATAGAGCTCAAAGTATTAAATACAATTGATCATGACCAGATCATATAATATAAAGTTCAAAGTATTAAATACCACTGATCATGACCAGATCATATAATATAAAGACTTCTAAACCCACTTAACCGTCTGGTCATACCCACTTATTCCTCGTGAAACCCATCCTTCTAAACCCACTCAACCGTCTGCATGGCCATATCCACTTAATCTTCTACTTATAAGCTTTTTTCCTACACTTAATTGTTTAGTTATCTCAACCTCAGAAATTTACTTCTCTAACACAACTCAATAGGTTAACCCTGCATGTTTTTTGGTATGCATACGACTGTGATGTACTGCGTACGTATATAGGATACCCATGCAGTTGTCCTATAGTATACTCAGCTGTTACGGTTAAGGATATACGTATAGGATACTCAGCTTTGCCAGCTGAGTACGGATCAGCAATGGAACTGATATAATATTGGTTTATCCATAGTACCAGACTTATAAGGTGCCCCGTGATAGGCTGTACGATGTGTTCTCATGCTTGTATAAGTAAAATTAATGCCACTTTTAACGTTATTAAATGTTGACGTAGGAAATTTATATTACTGTAGAATAGTGAGCTTTCTTAGGCTACATTGGCGAGGCAACTAACTTAAGGAGTGGTGATAATATTTATGTCGTAAAAATGTTGATCACTGCCTAGACAAGAGAATTTCATTTCATGATCATTTCACGTTCAGCTGGTGTTCCTCACCGACGGCAAGCCGACGGTGAGCGAGAAGAACTCGGACGTCATCCGCCGCAACGTCAGGGAGGCCAACGTTAACCATTTCCCTATATTTGCACTTGCCTTTGGGCCCGACGCTGAACTGAAGTGAGTTACAAATTAAGTATTAATTATCGACTGTCAGATTAAAAATAGATTAGAGGTGCCACCGATTTATTCTAGAAAAGTAAATTCAGTAGAAAATTTCAAGAAGTAACATATTTCAATTGGTGTGACCGACAATTATTTATTTCAACTATTCTTACTTGAGCTGCGTCGTAATATAAATACATATCCTTGATCTTGATATTGTTCCATGGTTCATACCGCTCGATGCAATTGATGCGCAGGTTCCTGCGCCAGATTTGCGCCGACAACACCGGCACTGCGCGGCGCATCACCGACCGCAGCACCGCCGCAGAACAGATCAAGGATTTCTTCGACGAGGTGTCGCGGCCGCTGCTTTCTGACGTCGCCATACGCTTCCCAGAGGGACAACTCAACCAATCGTCGCTTGTCAAGCTGGGGCAGGACACCTACTACGCTGGTGACGAGGTCTGGTGGTCGTGGATTGTTTTCAGTTGGTGTTTCAGGTTCAGTTTCAGACTCGAGGGTTTCTAGAATTCTAGAACGCCGTTTTAATAATTGAACATCGAACAAATTGTCATTTATAGGCTTGGAACACGTGATAAAACTGGAAATATTCGATTTATCATTATTATTAATTACAGATCACCCTACTTCCCATGATATTTAAAGATGAAAAGCTGGGGAATATGTCAAATGTTCATCCAGCTCGAGTGATTCACAAGACTCCCTTAATTCCGAGAACAATGAAATGAACCAGAGAACCTAAACCAATAATCATTTTTCAACTGTAGGGGGGGATTTTATTACCATTTTGGTATTTAAACTTGAGCAAATTCTCTAAATCAAAGGGTTATCACTTTACTTGATTTTTCGTAATTCACACATGTGGTTCAATGCAACCTAGAACTTTATTAAAGGATAAATTTCAGTTATGGGAAAGTCTGCGGATTAATTTTTCCAAGTTAAAATAATATTTCCTATATGTACGTAAGATGCGATACGAGTCTAAACCACGGGATGCGACATCCAACGTGCAGAGGATGTCGCAGTACAAAAACTGCATATTATCGAAGAGAAGGGTTAATCATTTATAAAAATATATGACCTTGCTCGGGTGATCTATCCTAAAGGTCAGATATAAATAATTTGTTTCAACACGGGTGGTTAATGGCCAGAGAATTCGTCAATTTAATTTTTTTTTCAGGGACGAACAATATTCTTCAGATGACATTAGTTGATCGAAATGCAGGTTCAAGGGAGTATTATCACTTTATTAACGACGTTTCGAATGTAACAACATTCATTTTCAAGTTACAGGAAGCATTGAATACAGAAATTTTGATGGAAATAAGTACATGATACAAGTAAATAGGATACAACACGAAAATTTGGAACCATGAAAATAATTCCAATGGAATTATTTTCATGGTTCCAAATTTTCGTGTTGTATCCTATTTACTTGTATCATGTACTTATTTCCATCAAAATTTCTGTATTCAATGCTTCCTGTAACTTGAAAATGAATGTTGTTACATTCGAAACGTCGTTAATAAAGTGATAATACTCCCTTGAACCTGCATTTCGATCAACTAATGTCATCTGAAGAATATTGTTCGTCCCTGAAAAAAAAAAATTAAATTGACGAATTCTCTGGCCATTAACCACCCGTGTTGAAACAAGCCTATTCTGCCTTCTGATACTAACATATAAATAATTACATACTATTCACTAAAGTACTTGAAATGTAAGTAAATGCCTTCAAAGTCTTTTATTAAAACGATCAATTCCATAAACAAAACTGAAGGGGAATTTTCTACCGATATCGAAGCAGCTTTGTAGTTGTTATGTGTTAACCGAAACTTGAGTTCTTTGTTATTTTTTCCTCATATTAAACGGTTTTAATGGACGAGCGGCGAGTTAAGTGCATTAGCTGCCGATTGGCGACCAATACGTCATTGACAGTAGGCGTTTAAATAAGACTGCCTTAATATGAAAGCGTAACATACTGTTTGTTTTGCAAAAGTTTAAACCATTATAACCATTATAATTTTTAACCATTATATGACCTGGACGCATGTTAGCTCAATATTGACCATCGAAATCGCAATTGCAAATTTTGCTTGTATTTTCTGCGGGCCAGACATCGTGCAAGCCACAATGGAAGGTGTTCAACTTTTTTGAAGATGACTGTGGGAGGAACTACCTCTGAAATTTACAAAAAATTTTCGATAAAGAACAGTTGTGACATGTGAAATTAAAAAATAATTTTCAGCGAAATTGATAAATAAATTATTTACAGATCGTCTTCGCGGGCCAGCTCGCTTCTGAGGAGGACATTTTGGACCCGTCCATAGAGGGGGCGGGGGCCGACGGTCCCGTGACTTTGAAAGTCTCCCGCCGCCACTCCTCCCCCCCGACTCCCCCCAACCCCGACCTGCAGCGCGTGTGGGCCTACCTTGCAGTGCAGGTACGACCTGCTTGACCTGCAGTGCGTGTGGGCCTACCTTGCAGTGCAGGTACGACCTGCTTGACCTGCAGTGCGTGTGGGCCTACCTTGCAGTGCAGGTACGACCTGCTTGACCTGCAGTGCGTGTGGGCCTACCTTGCAGTGCAGGTACGACCTGCTTGACCTACAGTACGAGTGAATATTTTTAGCAGACGATACAGAATAAAATTAGTGTTCAGAAAATAACTTTGCGATTTTAATAAATATTTCAAGATAGAAGTTAATCATCATTTTTACCAGGTAATAAATTAGCTTACCATGTTGTTAACACTATAATGTTTGCCTGCCCTGCAGGATCTCCTGGACTCGCAGGATGTTGTGGAGGACCCAAACCTGCGCAGCGAAATGCGCGCCAGAGCTCTGCACATCGCCCTCATGGTTAACCCTTATTCCTTCTCACAATTTTTCATTCATATTTATTACCAAATGTAATTTTACTGAGATAATTCCAAAAAAATCTAAAATGCTCATTTATACATTCATTTAGTTAGGTCATCATTGCCTTGCTCAAACTCATACATGTTTTCTTATAGAAAATAGGTCCTCAAAAATGAACATGGACGTGATATTGTCCTCTGTCAACTCTTGCTTGTTAAGTAGAATAATGTTGTATTCGTGTAGTTTATTTATGACTGCAACATTTTTCATGAATCCGTTAAACTCTAATATGTTTCTAAACGAATACTTACAAATATTATTGCTGTCCATTTCGATCCATATTCTTATGCGTCGTAAAATTTTTAGAATGGCTTCGTGACGAAGTTCACGGGGCTTGCCATGCACCCTTCGTCGTCTCCTGACAACGACGACGACAGCGACGATGCAGTCAACGACGAACCATCCTCGGAGACAACCACCGCGAGGTCTCCCCCACTGCCTCCCCGCCCCCTACCCCTGCATCCCCACGACGGTGGGGAGTCTGGGGGCAGAGCTCTGCCCCACTCCGCCGGGGACGTGACGCTGCTCAGCAAAGAGGATCTCGCTGCCTCGCTGCCGTCTGGCCTCATAGCCTCTCTTGGCGCCACGCAGAATCGGCGTTTCTCTTTTGGTACGGCTTCTGAATGTGAAAATAGTAGAATTTGTTCAACTTTTCTTATTCGTATCCTTTTGAATCTGCACTTAGAACTTTATTGCATTGATAATAGTGCTACCAAATATGAGGTTTGTTCCCTAAGTCCAAAAAATATTTCTCTATTCCTAATTCCGAAACTATAATGGGCGGCAAAATGAAGCAAATAAATTATTTTTCCATTCGAATTTTTGTAATCTATTGCCACGATGATCTTAATCTATTTAATTTATCTATCTATTTCGTGTGCAGTCGACAACGACCCCCACTTCGTAGTTCAGGTTCCAGGCCTCGTCTTCCCACTCTGCTTTGACGTCCATGGCCAACATGGCGATATCCTCAGCGTCATTAACGACCCAAAGTCTGGTCAGTTTGTTGACGACCCCAAGACTGGTCTGTTTATTGACAACCCAAAGTATGGTCAATTTGTTGACAACCCAAAGTTGGTCTGTTTGTTGACGACCCCAAGTCTGGTCAATTTGTTGACCACCCAAAGTCTGGTCAATTTGTTGACAACCCAAAGTCTGGTCAATTTGTTGACAATCCAAAGTATGGTCTGTTTGTTGACGACCCCAAGTCTGGTCAGTTGACGACCCAAAGTCTGGTCAGTTTGTTGAAAACTCCAAGGCTGGGTCAGTATGTTGATGACCTCAAGTCTGGTCAGTTTGTTAAAGACTTCAAGGCTGGTCAGCTTGTTGACGACCTCAAGTCTGGTAAGTATGTTGAAAACTCAAAGTCTGGTCAGCTTGTTGACGACCTCAAGTCTGGTCAGTTTGTTGTAGACTCCAAGGCTGGTCAGCTTGTTGACGACCTCAAGTCTGGTCAGTTTGTTGACGACCCAAAGTCTGGTCAGTTTGTTGACGACCCAAAGTCTGGTCAGTTTGTTGACGACCCAAAGTCTGGTCAGTTTGTTGACGACCCCGATTCTGGTCAGTTTGTTGAAGACTCCAAGGCAAGTCAGCTTGTTGACGAACTTTAGCCTAGTGAGTTTGTCGAAGGTTCCAAGGCTGGTCAGTTTGTTGACGACCTCAATTATGGTCAGTTTGTTGGAGACTCCAAGGCTGGTCAGCTTGTTGACAACCTCAGGTCTGGTCATTTTCTGACAAACCCAGTCTCATCTGTTGTTCACGACCCAAAGTCCGATTGAATTGTTTGTTGGCGACAATAAGTCTGGTCGAGATGGCCCCTGGTCTGGACAATCTTCTGAAGACCTTCATTTTTGGTTGGTTGTCGGTTACGCAGTCAGTCATGGTGAAAGACCACAAATCCATAGTTGTGAACGAAGTTCATAATTGTATAGAATTTTATTAATTTAGGGCTAAAAATAATAAAATTATTATATAATAATATAATTTAGGGCTACAATTAATAATTATTAACTAACAATTTCTAGGAGAAATAAAATGTTCAATTTTGATTGACGCATTTGAATTAAAAAAAACTGTGAGAACTATTTACAATATTAATAACTATTCAACAACTCATTGACGAGTGAAGAATTTTATAAGAAATGGTATCATATTTTACTATCAAGGAACACCTAATTCAAGATGACATTTCTGGAAAGTGTCATCCCGAAAGTAGTACTCGTTTGGGAATTCAGCAAAAGGTAGTAAATATTAACAAGAACATGTATTGAAAAGAACATGTATAACACTACTTCTCTACATAATCTCCGGACAAATTTAAGCATTTGTCGCATCGAGTCACGAGTTTTTGTATACCAGTGTCATATTACTCCGCCGCCAGTGTAATACGCAGTCACGTGTTCTTTCAGTTCTTCGTCATTTTGAATCTTTGTCACTGCAACGAAGTCCTTGAGTTTCGTAAACAGATGTAAATCTGAAGGAGCCAAGTCCAGACTGTAGGTTGGATGGTCGAAAATTTCCCACTTGAATTTTTGGAGAAGTTGTTGTGTTATCCAACCCGTATGCGGCCTGGCATCATCGTGCAGTAGAATGACGCCAGTAGACAACAAACCTCGCCGTCGATTTGGAATTGCCCGTCGTAATTTTTTAATGTTACACAATATGCATTGGCATTGATTGTGTCTCCACGAGTCATGAAATCGATGAGCAGTACACATTGCCGATCCCAGAAACACTGGCGGCGGAGTAATATGACACTGGTATACAAAAACTCGTGACACGATACGACAAATGCTTAAATTTGTCCGGAGATTATGCAGAGAAGAAGTGTAATACATGTTCTTTTCAGTAAACATGTTTACATTTGTTAATATTTACTTCCTTTTGTTCAATTCCCAAACGGGTACTACTTTCCGGATCACCCTCATACTTTCGCACATCAGAAGTATTTATATTAATGTCTATGCGTTACCTTAGTAAATTCCTTCTCATATTTTTTACAAGTATTTGCGTCGTACGCATACAGTTTTTAGTTGAGTTCGTATTCGTGTAGAAAAGTTTAGGCATGATGAGAATTTCGTTACAGGTATCCGAGTGAGCGGCGTGGTAACAGCGGTCGTGGGGTCGGAAGGCAAGACGTACTTCACGAAACTTTTCGTTGCTCTGGGCCATGTCAACGTCACAGTGACGCCTGATACCGTCACCGTGGACTGCCTCCGTAACGGCTCCATCGCGACCGTAAGTTACAACGAAACCTTCAATCAAGGGCTACTATCATCATGTTGACCATTACCTGAAGAATGATATTTCACCCACCAAATTGAACTATTTCACCGAAATACTTGAAATTCTCTTTTAACTATGTTCTCATCACAGGACTGTCAATTTTTCTCAACTCTAAGATCATCACTTTAACTTTTTCCTATCTTTTAGTTCATAACATAATTTTTCGCAATGAACACTACTCCCCAGGTATCGGAGGTCTCATCAGATCCTGCTCCTACCGACCGGCGTCGACGTCACCAAAGGACCCGAAATCGTGGCCGAGGAACTCGCCACGCAGGCAACCGGCGTCACCGTCGCCAGCACCGCAGACACAAAAGAAACCACAGAAGCCACCTATCACTTCCATCGGCCACTTATTCCGCTAACCCTCACCCGCAGATTCTCTTCGCCAATGCATATCACAATGAAAAAATATCATCCCTCGTTGACCGTCCTCGACATATTTCTGAGCATCGCCACCCACAGTTGCAATTTGCCGCAGCACTTGACTCGCATTTTTCAAAGACTGATGAGCAAGGAGATTTCGACGAATTGGAAATCCATCCCCATTTTACTAGGCATCAGCACGATCAATTTTATTCCCCAAATCGCAGTCCACTCTTGCATACGAACAACAAACATGAACCCCTTTCCACGCCAGAACTTGATCGACATTCTCCGCTGACCGATCGTTCTCCACCCATTTCAGTACTCGAGCTTCATCCTCATTCCTCGGATAGCAATTCACAACCTCCGAAAGGCTCAACACGTTTATCCGAAGGACGAAAGGCTCAACACGTTCATCCTACAGCTGGTAACAATGAACATCCAGAAGCAGTTGTGCCTGAACACTTCCATTATTTCAGTCCGTCAATGGTTTCTCGGGCTTGGAACTTCACTTCAGTGTTAGAAAAGCTAGGCGAGGAACCCGAGAACGACGAAGAGCTTTTTAAGCTTAGAAATGAGATTAACACTCGCTTTGATGGCAAGCTGGGTTCTGAAAGCCATATTCCGAACAAAAATCAGCGTAAAAATTCACTTAATGCGGCCAAGTTTTCAGTCGAAGAAGATGATCAAGCAGGAAGTATTTATTCTGACGGGGAAATTCACTATAAACGAACAGATTCTCCTGTGATGTCGCGGCACATTTCGACTTCTATCGACAACGATATTGAAGACGAGGACTCAAAAATTCTGGATTACTTAGTTGAAAAGTGTCAACAGGAGTTGACGTGGGACGAAATATCAGGAAGAAGGTGAGTCTGTTTATCTTAAAGGTTGTGAATGTTGCTTGCATACTAGTAACGAGAGATTTTAGCATGGAATGGTCCTAGCATGAGTGGGTTCGTACGTTAGCATAAATTTCTGCCGCAAGAGATGCTTTGAACGATATATTTCATAATCCGTATAGGTTATAGGGTAACATGGGGCAGCGAGCCCACTGCGGGTCATGGGACCATAGAGGGTTTCTCGCTAAGTATGGCAGATATTGGTCCGTGTTCTCTACCGCCGGTCGACAGTTTCACTGTGATGAAGTGTACGGATTTACGTTTTGCCAAGTGTTTGCGTTATTAACTTATTTGTGAATAACTGTTTTAGTCCAGATAAAAATTTTGTTGCTGCTAAATAAATTTTTTTTCGATTACTGTAGATGAAGCTTTTGAAATTACTGTGAATTATATTTTCACAGTAATATTTATAGGGAAAATTTTGAGATCAAGTTCAGACTATTAGCTTTTAAAATAAAATGTTGACACGATATAAATTGAAATGATACCTAGTGAGGCAACGGGCCTACGCGTGTCACGGGGCAAATCGCCCATGGTGAAGTCTTGTGTTATACATCATAAGATTTGTCTCAATGACCTTTTCAAACTATGACTAGCTTTTTGAATTACAAATTACACTTCAAATTGCATGATTATTTGATTTGCCGCCTCAAGGCAGCAGGTTTAGTTTCTATTTATGCTTATTTATGACCCCTTATCGAATTATTGACTCTTGCCTTGCCAAAAGTTGATTCCAGCCAACACCAATGAGCCAAAAGTTGATGAGTTTTTATGGTGTTGGCTGAAATCACGATTAGGTACGAATTCTCTGCACGTAATATCTGGATTATGGACGAAACTAGAACGAAGTTTTTTTCTGATCAACTAAATATATTTTTTCTAGTCAAGGATACATTTTTTCATGTCAAGGACGAATTTTTTATCGCAAGGATATATTTTTCAAGTCAAGGATGTATATTTTTATGTCAATGAAATATTTTTCTTCACGTCAGTGATAGATTTTATAAGCCAAGAGTATATTTTTTTCAAGTTAATGATATGATTTTTTGATTTGTTGATAAATGAGTTAATGTCCTATTTTTTATTACATTTCCTTATTTTTAACTGTAAAGTGTTGTTTTTTTTCATTTTTAAACGAAAAATATGCATTTGTGGTAAAGGGACCACGGGTGGGAGCCTTGCCCCAAACCCTTGGGCCCATTGCCCCAGGGGTGAGGCAATGGGCCCATTTTGACACTTTTTACAAAATAGTGTTTCATTAAAAATTGAATCAACATATAGGCGTCTAATTCACATCATACATTCCTCATTAGTTGTACCTTTAAAAAATACAAAGAACCACCTCGTATCAATTAAAACTTCATCAAAATTTTAGTTTAAAAAAAGGGAGGGGGGGGCGCTGCCCCATGTTGTCCTACTATTACCCAATTGATAACAATTACATAATGATATGATTGTTACCAGTTTTCGATACTTCTAAAACTAACTGTCAAGATGCTTCACTTTTCATTTTTCGAGAAAATTTTTCATTCTCAGTTGAAACCATGACTCCTTGAGACTAAATTCACTTAAATCAATGTTATTTTGCATACTTCTTCAGCATTCTTTCGAATTGAACCTTTTGTCCAACTTGGTTATTTGAATCACTTTATGGATTTCAGTGTGATTTTGCTCCCAGCGAACCTTATTCAACTATTCACACCACAGACTGATGCTGTTGCAGGTTTGATAACGTCGTATTCAGGGTTCGGAACAACCGAAAGTTGAATATCATGATGGGAGACCTGGAGGTGCACTTTACCATCACGCGCACCAAGAACAGACACGACCAACACTTCCTCGGCTTCTACGTTGAGGAGCAGAACGTCCTGTCGCCTCTCACCACCGGCATCATTGGTAAGCAGCAACTTGCCATTACCTGTTGTAATGATGTTTTTAACTTATTGAATTTAAGTTAATAACTAAATATTATCTGAGGAAAATGTAATTAAATTTAAATTAACAAAATGTCCTGTCGCCTCTCACCACAGGCATCATTGGTAAGCAGCAACTGGCAATTACCTGTTGTAATGACGTGTTTAAATTATTGAATTTAAATTAGTAACTAAAATATTATTTGCGTGAAATTAAATTTAAAAAGAAGTATATTTCATTAAATTGTGTTGTAGGCAATGGTTGTACCTTGCTGGCAATAGATGGCCAGTTTATATATGAAAATTATCTCTTCGCGCTGATCATTAGCAATTGGTGTTCAGTTTGTGGATTTGTTTTCTATGTAAATATGTTTTCTAATTTTGGACAGATTTAGATACTCAAGATATGAAACCGTACCGGCTCAGTGAATGGTTAGTAATATTTTCATTCACCTCTACTTCTCACAATAATTATTATTAACTTCATTTCAATGCTAAACTCATTTTCTTAATTTCTGCAGGTCAGTTTGCTTTTAAAACGGTAACATTAAAGCAATCAACGTCCCCAAGTCGGCGGTCCTCCCAGCTAAACATGCAGCCTGGTCCGAATGAGTGAGTTTTGGCTTGTTTTCCATCTGATTGCATGAAAATTAATTACATTCATCTGTGACCATCATTCATGAATTTTTTTTAACCAATTCAGTCATGAGTGCATTTATTTATTGATATTAATTAGATGAAATATAATGAAAGCCATCGTTAAATTGTTTAAATATTATATATAATGAAATTTATTACAGCATTTTTTTGTAGTTTCTTCAAAATTCTTCGGTATTGAACTTCTTGCCTAACTGGGTTATTTGAATTACTATTTTGAATACTATTATTATAATTTCATGAATACCTTGATGACTCGAAATTATCTCTATTTCGCACCGCTCGGTTTATAAATCAGTAAATGAAACATCGTTTTCGTCGCATCGATACATTTCTACTTAACACAAAATTAATATACAAAACTGATTTATTCGGCTTAAATCTGTCATAGGGCCTCCGTAGAGTTGTTGGTTCTCCACGTCGGGGAGGACGGTGGCGGAGGCGCGAGGATATCAGAAGTTCGTGCTAATGTCGAGCATCGGCGGTCTCTGCTGCACAAAGTTCATGTACCGTGCCTGTACGTGGACAACGAAGGCAGAGGCCTGCTTACCCACCCTGCGTCTGAGTACACCGTACCGTGTCTGCAGTGCTGAATGTATAGATATAAAAGGATTAAAGTATCTCGGTTGAATGAGGCGTAAAGTATTATTTGAGTTCTCAGTACGGGAGCAGGCCAAGCAGTTGTCTGCGCACCCGCCCTCCGCCTGCATACACCGTACCCTGTCTGCAGTGCTGAATATTACCGCATGAACAGGAATTAAATATCTGGTTTTGATAATTGTGGATATTAAAAAAGAAATGGATTATAGTATATCGTTATCTGCTTTCCTTATTTATTTGATGTGATATCCTAATTTTCAAGAAATCTGCTCATTCAATTATTTATATTCTCAAGAAATTTCAAACAGCGTCTGCCATGTGGTCTAACGTGTTCCACAAAAAAGATTATCCCATAGAATTTAAATGCAAAGTTGTGAAAAGTTAACTTCTTCACACATTCTAAAAATCATCGAAATGTTCACATTGCGTGTTCTGAGATTGATCAACTGATTGATATCAGTTTATATGTCACCGGTGGTCAGCCATCCTCGCAATGTCATAACCCGACAAATGTTTGATTCACTATGAAAAAAATTCATGCTCTTTCCCTTCCACTAATAATTTATTGAAGATTGGGGCAAATGTAATTAAACCTAACTATTCATCCGTTACTGAATGATATTGCATAATAGCCAGTGTCATGGTAACCTGATTTTTTTTCTAATAATAATAGTACTACAGCAATTGTAACGGTAGTTTTTTGTCGGTAGTTCTCTGAATTATCGTGGACGTGTCCCGGAAAACTGTAACTATAAAGACATTCATATCCTTCTTATTTACCAAACCGCGCTCAATAAATACAATTAACCTTGATTACAGTCTTTAACATGTAACAGGACCATTTGTATTACCCACAGTATTTGTCTTCATATCAGTAAATGCCATATGATTTACCGTCATACAGGAGGTACAAGTATATCATTCCCGGGGCAGTGTGATGGTTATGATTTGAGTTTTCATTGTCACCAAGAAATGATAACATTTCAAAGAGTTCATCATTTGTTACGAAGGAGAGCATCTATTGTACGACTCTGTTAACCTGACACCAATTGTAACATTTTTTCTCTATGTAAATAGTGTTAAAGTAAATGTTTGTTCTTTAATGTTAAGCATATCTTTTAATTTGAATAGTTTACTGCATACTTAATTGTTCCCTGTTTTCTCAATCCAATAAATGTTTTAAATATTACGACAATGATCATAGACTATACAATAATAAGTTATACGTATATAGGTAAATGATTAGTAGAGATACTGCGGAATCATGGCGATGTCGGAAAACCATCAAAACTCTCGACTAGTAGAGGGAGCATATCAAGAAAATAATACTCTACCTTTGTTTCCATGCCAGTTTGGGTCTTGATTAATAGCGGATCCGTACGCTTTTTTATTTAGTCTGGTAGTATTCCGACAGATGTTGGTTGATGTAGCATAAAATGTTTGTCTCCAACGTCTCGGAATACTAAGCTTAGAAAATCGCTTAAGGCAATTTACGTAGTTTCCAAGTATTTGACATGCGATGTAAATAAGGATAACAGAGCCATTCACAATTTTTATTAAATAAAAAACTTAGTTTCTTTTCTTTACAAATTTTTTAATTCATATCCCTTTAGAAGCTAAATAAACTGTTCAGTGCACACGGCGTGTGTTCAGTAGAACACGGCGTGTTGACAATTATCTGAGATTCAAAAGGGCCGTGGTCTGAAATTGCTGTAAAATTAGAAATTTAGATGATTACTTGTACTCCTGAGACATATTCCTAGCAATATTCTTACAGTAAGGCCTATTAGAGATATATTCTTAATTATATATATAAAATTTTTGAAATGAGTTAACCTGCCAAACACAAGCCCTTTTGAAATGAGTAAACCTGCCAAAAACGAGACGTATTTCGCCAAAATAAGGCGAGAGTTTTTGCTATTCCTTAAAACTCATTATCACAACATTGATAATAATGTCAGTATTTCTACAGTTATCAACACGGAAGTATTAATGCCAGGGTTGATTAGATGCTAGGCTCATTAAACGAGCCGCAGTGGTCATTATAGTCTCAATGAGAGTTAACGTGCTAATTTGATAGCAAAATCTGCTCATGGGCTCTTGCAATCATCATAATGACATTTAAATCATCATTAAAGATGTTGAGTTCAGATTCTAGTTAATTGTCTTTCAGGATGAGATTTAGAATCTGTAACAGAAGAGGCAAGGGTTGCGCAAAATTGTGGAAGTGGAACACATTCTGGTTTCTAATGATTTAGAGGAAAACTTTCGGAAGAAAATGACACTTTCATTTGAAAAATTTCAACGGTGTACTACATAAAAAATTAGTTGAGGTTAAAAAAATTCTAATGGTGATCTTGAAAGAGAGGGACAAAATGTTGTTCTATTCAATAAATGTTCTATTGATCAATGTTCTAATCAATGTTCTAATGTTTAAAACAAAATGTTGTTCTATTATTCTAAATTTCAATCTATTCAATCGAAACTAGACCGCATATTGCGGACTGGCATAGACCACGTGGTTGTGGTCAGGTCAAATAAATAAAATGCTAATTTTGCGTTTAATCTTGGCTATTTAAAATAAGCAAGTAATTTTCATCCATTTTCCTGCATCATAACATAACTATATAGCTTTTGTGATTCATAAACACGTATATTAAATTCAAGAATATAAATTAGATCAAAAGAAATTAAATCGGAACAAAACCGATGTAAGGTAAATCGGTAAACTGTAAAAACATAAAATGTTCGTAAAAATTCCTAACTATTACCTTGAAATTATATTTTGGAAATTGTATAATTATTAACAAGAGCATTTAAATTTTACAAATAATTTCTGTAGGAGATAATTATTACTTTTCATTGTAATTTGTAATTTGTAATTTCATTGTACTGCATCTATGAGGCTATTTTCGGTCGTTTGAGACTAATTTTCAAACATTTACTGTGAATAAAATATTACTGGGTATTTAAATAATTTCTAGTGCCTGCAACTTTGTTGCTATTGTTACCAGCTTTGAGCTATGAAACTGTAATGGAAGAAGGCTACTTTAGCGCCTCGTCAATAACTAAATGCAAAGCCAAATAGCGAGATTTTATTTTGAGTCTTCATTTTCTGGGTCTTTCGATATCGAACATCGAAAATATTAATTAACAGGCCAAGTGCAGGCATCGACCGTAATAATTAACAGGCAATGCGGTCCTCTTCCTTACTTAATGATGAGAAAATTTCCGTACATGAATTCATTGAGAATTTTTACTTAAGTTGCAAGAAAAATCCAGTGAAGAATCCAATTTCATCCATGTAAAAAAAAATTCAGTATAATTCCTTGCCTCTGGCGCGATAAAAAAAGAAAAATAAAAACCAGGCTCTTTTGAACCCGCCAGTCCTGATTTCATCGGAAATACTTATTAAGATTTCGTAACAAACGAGCCTCTCTCAGAAATGAGGAAAACGATAAATATATATTAATAATTGTAAAATTATTGCAAACGCTGACCTCAATCTGAAAGACTAATGCGACTAATTAAAAAAAATGAAAAATGAATTAACCTGAGTACATTAGTTTGTTCTATCACAAATACGGCAAAAATTTCTCGCTGGAAAAGAAATCTCCGAAAAAAATGTACGGGCTGCAATTCGTCAACGCTAATTATTATGACTTGTTTAAAATCGTAACGATATTAATTTTAAAAATTATCAGATGGAATTACGTGGCTTTTTCTCAAAGTAGTTCGTTAAATTCACTTGTTTATTCAGAAAAACTCGATCGGTGCAATAAATTTCACAGTTCCGAGAATAGTAAAATTATTCAGACACTGGAAGTGTTTCTTTGCAGTGCGACGTACGATCTGTCAGTTGCGACTGGCACGTCGCCATGTGAGGTGGTTTATAGACGACGTTCTCTATGTCTCCGTCACTGGAGAAGCAAACGTGTTGTCAGACTTAGGCCAGACCTAAATGATGTGAAAACAGTTCATTATATCCGAATAAAATTCTATCTATTGCAAAAAACTTTTTGTCTCCTGTCGGTGAACGATGCAAATATATATCTAGAAATTATCATCATATAATTCGAATTGTGTTCGCATCTTCGAGTCATCACGAAAAAAAATCATTATATTGGTAGTTCTAGTAACACAATTAACTTTCTTTGAAGCGGTGTGAGTGCAGCAAATCCGTGGTTCTTATTCTGGTGAAGGAGCAGAGCTAGCATGCGTATCTCCCGCCGCTATAGCGAGCAATGTCCTCCCGTTATTAAAATCCATTTCTTTCCGTTATTACGATTCACTTCTTCCCGTTATTGCAATTGATTTTGTGTGTTTTTTTAATTAATTTCTTTATCTTACTGCCATATATTTCCTCTCGTTTGGCAATTTAGTTTCCCCGTTCATCTCATCGCAGCGACGAACATATTTCTACGTGAAGCCACATGTTTTGCGATTGGTTTTCCGGATCAATAAATTATCTTATAACATTTTCATAATATCCGGTATTATACTTCAAATCGTAACGACCATACATCATCAACCTTCATGTAATGATATTTATAAAAGAGTGCTAGATTATTGCAAGATTCCACTTCAAAAGTAAATAAATACGGTAAGTAATTATACGGACACAATGAAAAAATCTTTATGTTATAATTCGTACTGAAGTTATTCATAGAAAAATTGAAGGAGGCGCATGTATGTAGCTTACACGGTTCCTTCACTTGAGCACCTATTGTTGCTGGGCTTCCAACGTACGAGTATTTCTGTACCAGCTCTGAATACCAGTGGTATACATGAACTTTCAGGTCCTTATTAACGAATAAAGTAGTCGACCATGGTAAAACTATTTAACGATGACTGAAAGTCTTTAGTTTCACCAACACATCAGTTTCAGCAGAATCAAACCGTTCAGTTCAGCCAAATCGTTTACCTTCGTTCTCCGTTCTCGTAGAAAATCGTGTTTTCGTCGTAGTTCTTATGACCGTAATAACGGTGTCAGTTTTGCCAGTTCTTGGGTTTATGTTTTTTATTATTTTGATTCGTTCCATCAATAATCATTGAAATTTCAGCATTTGTTGTGGCGAATTATAAGTTTCAGCAAATTGTTATAAAATACGTAAGAAGCCACCGACACTCTCCTACTCAACGCGAATATATTTCAACTATAATCACTTAAATTAAGCTTCAAATTAAGTCCAAATTCAATTCAAATTAAGTGATTTTTTTCTTAATATTAGTTGTTGCCCCACGAGACTAAAGTCATGTTTCATTTCGCTTAGGTATGCGCATCGCATAAAAATGGATTGAGGAAATACGAGTACTGATATCCTGGAAGTCGCTTGTATAAACTTAACATCCATGCCAACATTACTTGTCAAATCGGGTATACAAACTGGAAACAAAATGTCTGTATGAAGGAAACCTATAACACTATTCCAAGTTTTACTTATTAAACGGGAAAACATCACGAATGAAAAAATCACGAATTTTTATTCAGAAACCTAGCCTAGAGAAGCTAATTTGAGTCGATAAGTTTGCGTAGAAAAGCTTGACATCATCAGAAACAGTTCCGCTTCTTGTACGAAGCGAGGGCAGAGTGAAGCGTAAGCTCTCAGTATCCGGGGAACGTACGCACTTACTGACGAGGAATATTGTTCAGACTTTAGAGGATGTAACTCAAGAAAGAGGCTCATATTTATTCATTTGAAACATCAAATAGGAAGGCAACTTCAGGTTCACTAATTTTGCTTTAGTTTCTGATCGTCCACATAATTCGTCAGTCAGCTTTAATGAAAAGTTAATGACGTCATAAATAATCATAGACATAGATGACAACGTACTTTTAATTAATTTCTGTCAAAGGGTACACGATCAGATCTCAGATTAACAAATTTATTGAAAATATAAAAGAAGATAATGGGGGAAAATGCGTTCTAAATGGATAAATGAGGTCCACATGGTGGAACAAATAACACTCGGTGAGCTACAGTATGTATATTCAACCCTCGTCAGGGGAACTTTATGAGCCTTTATTTTTGTATTTTTTGTCAATAATTTGGCCAAGCTGTCTAAAATCATCAACTCAATCTAAAATTGTATCATAGAAGGCAAAGTACCGGAAAATTCAACGTCTCTGGCAGTAAAAAGCATCAATTTAGTTGTGTCAGTATGCATGTGCGTCTAACCTGTTGGTAAAAAAAGGCTGTCTAATTTATAGTCAGATCGAAAAAACATGTTTCATTCTATGAACTTTCTAATACATAAAATACAACATCACCGAAGAACAGCTGGCGGTTAAAATTATTAGATATGGTAAAAATAAGAAAGACTTGAAAAAAGACATTGACTCTTTCATGAAGACATTGAGGAAAGATGAGAATCTATTTTGATCAATTATGCGCAGTTCAGTTAACTGAAAAAACGAAAATAGTGCAAGAAACCTGGAGGCGCCCACCTGATAACTCGAACATTAAATGAACGTGAGAGTCATAAACCCTTTACGATGTCACCGGTGCACTCAGAGAAATAAGTCTTATATTATTAAGTCTTATAAGTCTTATTGACTGTCAAAATAGCGATGCACATTG